GCCTTTGAGTAATGATGATGATTCTGCTGAGAAGGCATTGGAGTTTGATTTATTGTCTTCGTTTCTTAATTCGGAGGTGAAAGAACTCGAGTCGCTTCTTAGTTATCTTCAGACCGAGATTCACAATGCTCGTGTAATGATATCTCCGTTTCAACACGATGGAGACGGTTTCTTGGATTTGGAAGGGAAGTTGCATGATGCTGAAGAATCTTTGGGGCATTTGATAGATCAAGTTATGGAAATGAAGAAGCAATCTTCTAACTTTCAGAGGTTATCTTCCGGTTTGGATGAAACCGGAAGCTGTAAGTCACAAACCTAACTCAAACCAATTTAACTTGTACACTTTTAACCTTATTGCTATGATTTTCAAGCTTTGATATGGAGTTATGTTAACTTGGTTTTGCTAGGGTCTGGAGGACGAACTGCGGAAAATAGAAAAGATGGTGACTTTGGTGATCTGAGTGCTAAGATCAAAATGCAGACCACTGATCAGCAAAGGAACGTTTTGAGGATGCTTGAGAAATCTTTGGCTAAGGAGATGGAACTTGAGAAGAAACTAAGTGAGGCAAGAAATATCGAATACGAACTTGGGATGAAGCTATATTCTTCCGAGCAGGATGTTGTCTACATGGAAGAAGTGATCGAAGATACGTATTCAAAATGGCTTGAGGCAGAGAATGCTTCTGAAGTCTTGAAGGGAATGTCAAAGGAGATGTCTGGAAAACTCCAGGTTCTTCAGTTTAATCTAAGCGGGTCTTTTAAGCGGGCAGATGACTTGAAGTCTGAGCTCGTTGATTCAAAGGAACGTTTAGAAGCTAAGGAATGTGCCTTGCATAAACTTGATAGCAGCAATGCAAGACTTCATGAGTTTCTTATGGCACAAACAGAAGGCTTAAAAGAGAGTTTGAAGGAAGCTGAGGAAAAATTGATTCTGTCAAATAGTGAGAATTCCACTCTAAGTGAAAAAGTTAGCTCCCTTGAGGAACAACTGAATGAATATGGGCATCACTCAAGAGATCTAGATACTACTTCTGCTGCTCAGATAACAGATCTTGAACGTATCAACGAGGAAATGAAAGATAAATTAGCGGAAACTGAAGCAAGAGCTGAGGAAGCAGAATCCAAATCCCAAACACTAGAAGAGAGCAAAAAGGAGCTACAAGACGAGCTGGAGAATTTCAGAGCCAAGGGCTTTACCGTGGAAAAGTTAGCATCTCTTGAGAAACATTTAAGGGACACAGATCTTCAGCTAGAACATGCAGTTGCGGCTGTTGAAGCAAGTAAAGAAAAGCAGAACTTGTTATATTCTACTGTTTCTGATATGGAGGATGTGATCGAGGATCTAAAATCAAAAGTTTCTAAGGCTGAAAACAGGGCTGACTATACCGAAGAGAAGTTGATCATGGTATCTGAGTCTAACGCAGACCTCAATGAAGAACTGAAGTTCTTTAAAGGTAGATTGAAAGAAGGAGAAAAATATATACAGCAAGCAGAAGAAAGAAAATTGCGAACCGCTAAAGATATTGCTGTACATAACAAGATCATGAAAAAACTGGTCATGCAACTAGCTGCTGAAAGAGAACGACTTCATAAACAGGTATCGAGACATTACCATATTCATAAACCCAGTTCATTGTGAAGTTCATGCTCTAACACCATCATCCATGAAGTAGTAGCTTCATCATCATTTCATCATAGTGGATTCTTAGATATAGCGATTTTTTTGCAGATATCTAACTTGTCAAGAGAGAATTGTTTATTGATGGTGAAGTTGAAAAAGATTGGAAAAACTGGTTACATGGAGAGTGGCAATGGAAGTGAAGTTTCACCAAAGTCTGACCATCAAGCCACCGTAACATCACTAACTAATCCAGAGGTAAATTAATTCTTCTTTACCAAAAAAATTGAAATTTTCAGGCAGCTAAGTGAATTCAACCATTAAGTTTTAGTCGGAAATTGAACATTAGGAATCTAATATTGACTCTGTTCTTTAAAACCCTTATAACGAAAGTGATGTTGGTAACTGTATTGTAGGAGGAAGAAACCGAATCAAAATCAGATATCGGAAGTGTTAGGAGATTAGATGCTGGAGCTCTTGGGTTCAAGCACATCCTCGTTGCGATCTTCGTTATCTTAATGTCGTGGATGGCTTACTTTATATCCCAGCAAAACATCCAAGAGTCTTAACTTTTTGCAGAATCTCATAGGCTCCAGTTTTGTTTTTCTCTCTTTGTCATAGTTTACAATGACAGAATATATTTTATAGTCTTGTTTTTTGGCTGGTCTCAATTACAGAAAATCTGCTATAAAAGTTAAACATGCTTCTTGTTTTACCCCAAGTATTTCAATTTTGGTCTCAGCACCTGTTTACTGATTCTTTCAGTTATTACAAATGAACTACAAACTTTTCCAGTGTCAAATATCAGCACCTCTACGCATCAATCAATCCTTCGTCTTTGCAATAATATTCAGACCCATCAAAACTTGTTGCATCATTGGTCGATTCCTTTTGTCCTGCTGGATGCACCATTTGATGACTTGCCCCATCCGTCTCGCTGCTTTCGCAGGATAGTCGTTCCCATGTCGTGGATCGATTATTTCTCGGATTTTGTCTTTATCAGACAAGAAAGATTTACTCCAAAAAACCAAGTTTCGCTTGGCCTTATTCCTGTCTGTATCAAAAGCTTTGAGACCAGTTAAGAGCTCAAGTAAGATCACACCAAATGTGTAAACATCGCCCTCCATTCCAATGTGGTCTACATACATCACACAATTGTCTTACCATTGGACAATGAAAGATGAATCAGAATTTCTAAAACAAAAGTAAAGATTTTGGTGTACCTGTCATTGCCAACTCAGGAGCTATGTATCCAAATCCTCCAGCAAGACGACCTTTTTTGTCTAACACACAATTTTGGTTTAACTCGCAATAAAACAATTTTGCATTGTATTGCTGTTGAAATTCAAACTTTGGTATTAGTTTCTAAGATCATATACAAAAAAGAAGAATGTAAACAAACAAAAAACAAGTCATTACCTCGTCAAGAATAATGTTTTGCATTCTGATTTCTTGATGTATCGAGCTGTTTTTGATCGAGTGGAGAAATGCAATACCTTGAGCTGTTTGGATAGCTATCTGAACTCGTATTTCCCATGGCAACACCTCTTCTTCTGTTGAAAGAAACATCAAAATTTTGTATACCGATTTTAAAGAATGGAGACAATAATTTGAAGGGATCTTAACTTCCGAATATATGACGGTCCAAACTTCCTTGGCGCAAGTATTCGAAAACCAAGAAAAATGATTTGTTATCTTCACAAGAGTAACCAAAAGTTTGACCAAGTTTGGATGAGAAATTTCCTCTTGAGACTTCACTTTCTCCTGAAACTCATAGTTTCTTTTACCCATCAGATACTTGATAAGCACACAAGACACATAAAGACAAATGTAAAAATTTTGTAGGTTTAAGAGTGAATATTGGACAGATCTTGCTTACCATCCACTCTTGTAGAGCCTGTGAGCTATCTTGAGGACATTCGAAGACAGAAACAGCAATTTCGGTTTCACTTCTTGATGGAGCAAAGGTGGTCTCATTGATGTATCCTTTGTAGAATGTTCGAACAGAGCCACCGTCTATTACCACCCTGTCTTGTCTGAAGTTCTTCGTTGCTTTCTTCAATTCCTTGAAGCTAAAGACTCTCAGATTCTCATTTTCTGCCTCCACTTTTCAATATATACATATAAATTTGAGTTATACGTATTTAAACATTATAAGTAACCAAAAGTAAATGAATTTAAAAACAGAGATTATTTTGGTTTTTAGATGTTTAAACATTCTTATTTGGGTTTTTATAAATAATTCAAGTGTGAAAGCATCTTCGAAAATAAGTTGGACTTTAGAGTTCAACACTTTGATGAGTCAATTGCTCACTTAGGCAAAAGAATGGAAAACAAGAAATTACAATATCAACTATGACTATATCCATTTTTAAGGCAAATTTGGGAAAAAATGCTAAGACTTGCGTAAACAATTTAAGAAACGCGTTTAGTTCATTTTAGCAAGTTATTTGTCTTATTGCTTAGTTGGTGAGAAGTAAATGTTGATTTGGTTTTCTTGGGGAAAGATCTACGGTCCTAATTTAAAGTCCAACTCCTTTAAACTAAAGCTAGCAATATTACCAATTACAGAAACTCGTAGTTTGGCCTAGGGATAAAAGATTTTGGGGACACAGTGAAACTCGTCTTTCATGAGTTCGATTCTTATTGAAACACTTTTATTCCCAATTGGCTAGTCGTAATGGTTTTAAACACATTCAAATACCGGTGAATGAATTACTCGACCACTATAATCATATTGAAAGATTAGTCGAGAGTCTTGATCCAAAACTACATGGTTAACAAAAATATTGATTTTACCGTGTTGACCAAAAAGAAACAAAAATGCTTCTACGATCTGATATGGTTTATATTTCAATTAAGACAAACCATTTTTTTTTTGTTCAAAGAAACGGATCATGTCCTCCTATACCCTTATAGAATAGATGGTATTCAGATATACCCTTGTGTTAAAAAAAAATATTTTTGATTTAAATTTTGTGTGTAAAAATCGAAAAAAGGTTAGAGACTCAAAATCCCTTAATGAAATTTCTTATTTACAGATCCAACCACCCTAAATGGATCAACCCACACCCAAACC